GGGAAATAAGGAGTGGTGTGGAGGTCCAGTTCTGCAATTGCTCATCAGGTTCTGCATCACGGATGCCTGATGTCCCAACCTCTTCCTTGATAACCGCATCAATCTCCTCAAAAAGGTCCCAGATTCCTTCCCTGAGACCAACATCGTTGACATTTTCTCGTACCAGAAATGACTGGTACAGATGAGGAATTGGCCTGGCCAATGCTTGATCAATACCCTTGTTCTTCATCTCTGCTTCGTCAGCATCTGTGGGGACATACCCCAAGCCAAGCTTTACTCATTTGGCGGGAATTTGGATAGGCTCGACGATTCCTTGAAAGTGTTTCCCCAATCTGAAACCTGTCGAAACCATCCCGGAGCATGATGGTAGCAATCATCTTGTACACGGTAGGCATAGGAGGCTGTGGAGCCAAGTATTCACCGGTGGCATTTACCAGCTCCACCGTGTAGAAATCACAACCTCGAGAGACATCATCAACTATCGGTGCATTCCCATTGGAATGACTCCCTTCACCATAAATGACCAATTCCTGGTACTTCCAAACAAACTTTATTAGTTGGTGAAGGGTAGACGGCAGAGCCCCAGCCATATGAATGAACGGTCTTCCCAGAAGGAGGTTGTAACTAGTGTTGATATCCAACACCTGGAACTCGACGTTGAATTCCACAGGACCCACCTGAATATCCAAGTTCACCGCACCCAATGTGCCTCTTTACACTCCATCAAAAGCCCTCACATTGACTTGGTTCTGGTAAAGCTTTCCCAAATCGAATTTTAGCTGCTTCAAAGTCGAAAGTGGGCAAATATTAAGACCGGATCAGTCATCGACCAAGACGCGATTTATTATCTTGTCCCGACACATAGTGGTGACATGCAGAGCTTTGTTGTGCATCCTGCCTTCAAAAGGTAGCTCTTCGTCACAAAAACTAATTCGGTGTCCTCGGATAACCTGGTTTATCATGGCTGCTAGATTGTCACTGTTGGTACCCACGAGCACATAAGTATCATCCAAAGCTCTCATCAAAGCCTGTCTATGCAACTGCGAACTCATCAGTAAAGCCCACACAGAAATCTGAGCCGGTGTCTTCTCTAGATGTTTCACTATCGAATAATCTTTCAGTTGCATTTTTCTCCAGAATTCTTCGGCTTCAGCTTCACTAATCAGTCTTTTAGTCTGATCCTTTTTCTGCCCTCCTTGAGCCAACTCTTCCGGTGTGTAGCACCTACCGGATCTGGTCATACCCTGGGTAACAGCCGTTTCAATCACAAATTTTGGTCAGGCAAGAGTTTCTCATGGCACCAAGGCAACAGTCTTCCCGGGTGTCAGAATCACAAACTCTTTCTTATCTCTGATGCTTAACGAAGCTACAGCCCTTTCCAGTTCATCAGGAGCAATCGGAACTATTTCCTTCCTCACGCACCAGTCATCATCTGTCTCTATCATATTGATAGTGGCGCCTCCATGATTTGGCAAAGGATTACTATTGACATTAGGCGCAACTGTCTGAAGAGAGACCACGTTCTGATCGATCAGGTCTTGGATTTTATGTTTCAGGTTGATACAATCCTCGGTATCATGTCCAACACTGTTGGAGTGATACGCGCACCTCTGGTCGGGTCTGTAAAACTTTGAGTTAGTATCAACCGGCTTGGGCCCCATTGGATGAATATATCCTGTCGCGGTTAATCGCTTAAACAACTTTGTTCGGCTTTCAATGAGCGGAGTGAAAATTCTAGCAGACTTCTTCTCAAATCTAGGATGGGGGGATCGTAATTCCCTTGTTGCGAAGGAGGCATCTGGCGATAATTTGAAGCATTTGGACGGGGGGTTTGATATTTGGGATATGAGTTGGTTTGGTATTTTGGTTGTGGAGCTTGGTAGTTCGGGGGGTGTATTTTGGTAAAGTGGAGCTGGGGTTTGGTACATTGGGGGAGGAGTTTGGTAATTTGTCTGAACATTGGCACAATTGGGGGCGACGTTCCGATAGTGATGAGGTGGAGTTTGGTAAATTGGAGGGGAGTTTGGTAAATAGTAGGGGGAGTTTGGTAAATGGGAGGAGGGGTATTTTGATAACTTGGGGGAGAATTATTTTGGTAATCAGCCTCTGTATAACAAGCCGGGAACAAACTCTGTGAAGGTCGAGAATGACCTTGGTATGATGAGGTTTTCCTTGGGGTCTTCTTCCCCTCATAGGAGATAGATGACACATCCTCTCTTTTCTTCTTCAACAAACCTGAAGATCCGGGCGAGGCAGCAACACGGGTAATCTTCTCGGTTCTCAATCCATCTTCGATAGTCTCACCTACCTTGACTATCTCAGCAAATTTTGCTCCAACGAGCAACATGATTCTGTCATAATATTCGGGCTCTTGCACCCGCACAAACACTTCGACGATTTCCTTTTCCGACATAGGAGGTCTAACTCTAGCTGCCTCCTTCCGCCATCTATATGCAAATTCTCTGTAACTTTCAGTTGGCTTCTGCTTCATCTTCTTCAAGGAGTAACGGTCAGGAACGATCTCCACATTATAGGCAAATCGTTCGATGAAGTCCTTTGCCAGAGCATTCCAACAAGACCACTGTCTCGTTTCATGAGACGTAAACCACTCTAGAGCCTCTCCGCTCAAACTTCGGCTAAAAAGCTGCATTAACAAAGCTTCGTCTCTCCCAACTCCCACAAGTTGGTCACAGTAGGCCCTCATATGTGCTAAGGGGTTCCCTGTTTCTCCGAAGATGTCAAATTTTGGCACCTTGAACCCTTCAGGGAGGTCCAAATTCGAATGAATGCACAGGTCTTCGTAACTCAACCCGGCGACCTCGGGAATGCAGTTCAACTCCTTCATGACTTTTCTGATTTCCTCCTTCATATCTATCTTGGCAGTCTCTTCTTTTGACCTCCACCCTCTCTCCCTCTCCTCATAGTGGTCAAGCTCCGAACCATGGGCGTCATGCTCATTGGGGACCGGTATTTGGAAAGTGGCTTTTTGTGGTAGTGGTGAAGCAATACTCTGGCCATTTAAAGGGGCGTGATAGTTTTGGGGAAAAGTCTGGGGGCTGGTATATTGGTTTTGGTGAAGGATGGAAGTGTATGGGTTATTAGCGTTTTGGTTGTGGGGGGTGGCCAGTTTGGTGGTTTGCATTGGGGGGAGGAAGTGGTACTTGGAGGTTGGTATTTTGAGGAGGGGGTGGTGTTTGATAAGAGGAGGAGACGTAGTGGGGGTTTTGGGTGGTAAGGTCAATGATGGAGGGATTACGAGCAGGTCTTAAAGGCGGGTTCTGAGCTTGTTCCACGTTAAGAGGGGAATTTGAGCTGGAGGTCTTCCGTCTGGTTGAGCATTGATAGCAAAAATTGGAGGAGGCAAATCGTTCTTTCTCTGCATCTCGACCCTCATCTCAGCAATTTGTTGCATCAACTGTAGGATCAGTTCATTCTGATCAGCAAGGGCGGGTTGAGCCACCACGACATCAGTAAGGCTGATTTCTTCGTTGTTATCACCTATTGCTGCTTCTCCTTTTTGTGAACTTTGATTGGGGAAGGAATCTATAGGACCTTTAGATCTAGTGAAATAAGGATGATTAGTCAGCTTATCGACACAGACCAGTTCTAACTACCTGTTGAGAAAAACAACTCGAAGGCAATATGTTAGTTTTGATTCGGCACAAATAATGCAAAATATCATATAGAAAGCAGATAAACACATAAAAGTTGCTTTGTTTGAGAACATGCTAACCCACGAATAATGGGGACTGACTTTTGAACAAGCAGGAATTTGCTCGCTTTTATGTTAAGGTTGGTGACTCAGAAAGGTTAAATTGCGTTGAGCTAAGGTCTTCTTGCTGCATCTCTGGGCATTTGTTGATCTGAACTCAATGTTTCATTGTAGAATGAAGGGAAAAAATTTTAAAAGATAGGGGCCGGGCCTTGAAAGGCTGCCTACGTATCTCCCAAGGAGAATTCAGGGCCTACGTAGTTCAAAAACAAAAGGAAATTTCATTTTCATTCATTCATTTCTTGAAGATTACAAGGAAAGTGAAAAGCAGACAATAAAGCTCCTAAAAGATAAAATGTGCCTCCACTCAGGCCATTCTTTTTCTGATTTTCGCATTAATCACGAGGGGTAAACTCATATGCTTCGAGGGTGGTTTTCTGATTCCCCTCCTTCCATCGTCCCTGAATAGGAGGTCTATAGACAATTTCGTCCCCAGTGTCTTCTTCAATAGCTTCAGGTCTAGCGCCTTTGGGATCACTGTTGGTGCCTCTTGGTAGAAGAAAAAGTGCTTTCCACGTGGCTTCGAAGCATCACGGTTATATCTTTTGAAGGCATCGCACTTCTTCCGCACAGCAACTGTCTCTTCATCTATAACAACACATTTGTCATCTTTGTTGCCAACTCCGCGTCTAGTGCCGCATTTGCTGCTCGTGCCACCGCGGTGGCGAACTCCACTTCTATTCTCCTTTCTCTGGTTTCTTGGATCTCTTGTCTGAGCCGCTGTAATTTCATCCTCAAATCCTCCTCAGTTAGCTCTATGTCGATACTCTTGCCTTTTTCCATCTTAGCTGCAATTTTACCTTTCATGAGATATAGAGTAATGGCTTAGGATTGGTATAGGATTTTATTTCTGATGAGAAACTTAAGACTCAGAATTTTGGTCGGACATTTGGTAATGACTTGTATTTGACATTTTTAATTTTTTATAAAATTTATTTTGACAAGAGTGGGCTAAAATGTCTCATTCAAAGCAATTACCATACAAAAGTTAAACACACAAGTAACACAAATATCGCGTCCTAAAAATGCATGTGACCCTTTTTGCCAGGGTAGGCCTAGCGAATTGAAGGATGTATTACGCCATTTAAAACAAATTGTTGCACCCCCAAAACAGAATTCATAAACAATAGAGAATTCATTACAAAGTTAAGCAAAGGATACATCTTTTAGGGAAGGGATAATGCAAATACAAGAACATCAATCCCACGCAGGGAATAAGATAACTAAAATGCTGAAGGACCTGCTCCTCCTCTTACTTTTTCCATTCTTCACGAATGAAGAACTTGCTGGTTATCACATGCGGCTCAGCGAACACAGCTTTGGAAGACATTGACACGCCCTGGAGGGTGTTAAGCTGATCATCCAAGTTCAAGTCCAAAGTATCAGGCA